ACCCTACGGTAACCCAACTTTTAGAGCAATCCCCAGCAGAGTCGTCAGTTATGTGATACGGTGGGAGAACTGACTTGGAGGTTTTTTGCGTTTGTGTTTGCAAATGTTACGGTTTAGCAAGAGTCTCCATCGACTTTTCTTTTATCCAATAAGGAAAGGTGAAAAAGCACAGGAAAGACCTTTAGAGATGTTTTCTTGAGTTCGGGGGGTAGATTATGAAAAGGAAGGTATTAGCACCCTTTTCATCCATGGTTTTCCGTGGGCTCTTAGTTACTTGCTAGATCACTTGTTTTTGTTGAAAAATGTGCTTTTGTATGGTTTTAAAAGTATTTTGAAAAGGCGCCATCGCTTAGGAAAACTTTGTAATAGTTCTCGTTCGTAGAACGTATACAAAATGTTGAGCTTTTGAAAATATTTCATGTTTGGAAAGTGTTTTGAAAATGTTTTGAAAGTGTTTTGAAAGTGTATGTGATTGTTTTGAAAATAGCAAGGATATTTGTTTGAGAGTGAGCAAGTAACTAGAAGTAATTTACCTACTCAAAAAGTCTTAGATGTGCTTTTCCTCCTCCTTTAGATGTTGCTATCTTCCATTGTTTTGGTAAGAAGCCCCATCGTTGGATGTGAAGGGACAGGACGGTGGGTCATCGTATGACCATGATAGCAATATTGTGAGATGACTTAGCACTTTTCTTTAGGGACTAAGATCATTTTGAAAGGAAACTTTGATAGCGTCATCGAGGGACTATGATCTTGTATTTCGATTGTTTATGCTAAGACATCCCACATGCATAACATGACCATTTTTTGTAAGGCAACAAAGTGAGATTACCCTAAGGGTGCATGTGTGCAAGTGTGTTTTATTTGCATGCATTTAATCTTTGATTAGGGTGATCTATTTGTCAATTTCAGGTCTTGCCATAACACGCCCTAATTACTAGCATTTATATTCGAAAGCGATAAATTTGTAGAAATGTAAAGTCCTACGTTATTACAATATTTAGGGGATTGGGGTACATATTTATGAATGGGGATTGCAAGTAAAAATAATTCCTAAGTTACTATTACAACCATATTGAAATGTACAATATAAGAAAGAAATGGACTTGTTTAGAAAATGTTTTTTGTCTTAAGGAAATAAATTAAAGGAAAATATTTTTATGTTTTTTATGTTAATATTAAAAATGATGAAAAGGAAAATAAATTCAAGATAGAAACAGCGTGTTGCTGCAAGCAAAATAACAAGGATCAGAAGTTCTGAAGTCAGGCGCGTGGTGACTCAGAAGGAAGCATCAGAATCAAAAGTTATGGATTGGTACACTCTGAGGTCCTGCAAGAAATGTTAGAGGACAAACACAGAAGTTCTGGATGGTATTCAGACAGTGGGCCATAAGTCAGAAGTTCTGTATTACACTAAAACAATGAGCAAACGTCAGCAGTTCAGTGTGTTATCAGCATGTAAAAATCAGAAACTCTAAGTGTTCAGTGTATTTAACATGTAAGGAGAACTCAGAAGTTTTGTGCTATGTTAGAACAGCGAGTGAATCATCAAAAGTTATGTGTATTAAAACAATGAAGAATCATAGAAGTTCTGTATGTTAAAACTATGAATGAACATCACAAGTTTTAATGCCATATTTCAACACTCAATCAGCACATCAGTAATCTATTCAATTTTCAATAATCAGTAAGTCAGAAGGATAAAAAGCACAATAGTTTACAGAAGTTTAAATCCTGATCCTGAGCCTAGCCTTAATCAAGAAGTTCTGATCCATAATTTTTCTACTTAAGCAATGATATGTACAACATTAATATTATGATATTTACATGTTAATGATGTTCAGAATGAAAAACAAACAAGCAAAGTCAGAAAGACTTACCTTGAACCTGGAGCGTGCTTGGAGCTTTGGGCTGCTGCCTTCTGATGTTCTGGTGTCAGCGTGAGTGACAGAAGAGTGTTGTGTTCTTTGGTTCTAAGGGAAGAACAAAGGTTTATTTTTGTGTATGAGAAATCTGGATTTTTATGAAGGTTTCACAACTTCCTTTTCTCTCTTTTGGCCAATCTCTCTCTTCAAAAGCCAGTCCCTTGCAAGAGTGATGGAGCCACTTATTTATAGATGATTTGTTGTGGTTTTTTTTTTTGGGGGGGGGGGGGGAAACAGATGGGATTTGAACTTTTTGCCACACTGTTCCATTGCTTTTTGATCATATCCTTTTGTATTTGATGCAAATACTGGATTTGGAAAAATAGAGGCGTGGACTGGATTAATTGATGGTTAGAGTATTGTATTGTTGCAGTGCAGCATGTTGTTTAAACGAGGTCTTGGGATTTGGTGATGTTCTGATTGCAGAAGATCAGAAACGTAACCTCCAAATGCTGAAGGGGCATCTTCTGACCAGAGCGTTGAACATAGTCTCCATATGCGGAAGAATCATGTTCTAATTGAAGCATCATGTTCTGACCAAAGAGCATCGCTTCTACATGTTCTGATTGAAGCGTCATGTTCTGACCAAAGAGCATCGCTTCTACATGTTCTGATTGAAGCGTCATGTTCTGAACCGTGTTTGCAACTTCTGATTGTACTTGCATGGAGGCTGGCTCAGAAGTTCTGAGGTATCATATACTCTTAACACTTAGAAAATTTTCTAAATGTTTAGAAAATTTTATTTTTTTCCAAAGTAACTTCTGACTCCTGATTTTTTTTATGAATCAATCTCATGTCTTGATGAAATAAAATTGTTGAAACTTGATTTGATCTGAAAGTCAAAGTTTGACTTTTCAGTATGCTTTTGACCATTTTTCCCTTATGGATGATTTCCTTGGAAAATTGCAGTTCAAGACTTGGAATTGGATGGAAGCAAACTTGAGGATCCAGGGTGATTCCTTGAGAAATGAGAGGGAAAATTTTGGGTGCAACACGGTCAATCTTCTTTCCACGAGAATCTTAGAGCGGTTAGTCTTCAAGCATATAAACAAACTTTGTAAGCTTTTACCACAGGCTTAATTCACAAACCTTTAAACCTTGGTTTTACACGGGATAATCAATAATCTGAAAGATTTTAATACTGGGCTAATCTTGAACCATATCTAAGCTTTTAACACGGGCTAAGCTTTAACCTAATATTGGTTTTACCACGAGCTTACCAAGAACCTAAAGAGACTTTACCACGGGCTGATCTCAAACTTAAACAAGAGCTTGATCACACAATCCCCAAACCAAATCTTTTACGGATTTAGCTTCTAACTCACAAATAATTCCTAAATGAATAATATTCAACGAAGGTATATACAAAATATTTCCTTGGTGAAATTTACAATTCTATCTTTCAAGAACTATAGCTTATCCTCACTCACAAAAGAACTTTCTTGTAAAAGTATTTAGACTAAAATATTAGTGAGATAATGTAAAAGAAAAAGGTATAGAGAGAGAAAGAGAGGCACAAAGAGGCACA